GAGTCTGAGGAGCCTAACGACAAGGGAGGCCTGGAAAGAAAGGACACGAAACCGGGCCTTCTCGGCGGTGGCTCCTCGCCTCTGGAATAATCTCCCTCCTGAGATCCGCGCAGCCCCCACTTTGGACACTTTTAAAAGTCAATTAAAAACATGGCTATACATTCAGGCCTTCCCTCCAGTTAATATCTGACTTTTCTGTTCATTCTCTCCTTATGTATTTTCTATTCTATTGTTGTATTCTGTTTATTACAATATGATTTATGTAATTGTTTGTGTTTTTTGTATTATTTCAGTTTTTACTATATTGGAAGCCGCCTAGAGTGGTCTTTTAGACCAGATGGGCGGGGTATAAATCAAATAAATAAATAAATAAAATAAAGCACTTTCAAATACTTGAAAGGCAGTCATACAGAGAAGGGGCAGGATCTCTTCTTGATCATCCCAGAGTGCAAGATACAAAATAATGGACTCAAGCTACCAGAAGCCAGATTTCAGTTGAATAGCAGGAAAAACAATAGTTAAAGCAGTACAATAATGGAACCAATTGCCTTGGGAGGTGGTGGCATTCAAATGAAAGTTAGACAGCCATCCATCAGATATACTTTAACTTGAATTCCTGTATTGAGCAGGGTGTTGAACTTGAAGGCATTATAGACTCCTTCCAACTCCATTATTCTATGATTATATAATTCTGGCTTCTGTGTCCAATCCAAAAGAAATCTTTCTTTCCATTCACAGACTTAGTTTCATTCTGAAATATTCAGTTCTGATGCTGCCTTTTTGCATTAAGGTAGATAGGGAATGAGAATATCACTGTTGGGGCTATAGGCAGATAAATCAGACCAAATGTAGGATACTACAGATAACTAATGGTAAGATTTCTGCTAAAATGTCCTGCAATCTCAGTGAAACCAACCCTGAAGGAGGATAATACTGAAAGGTTACTTACAGTAAGTTAGTTACAAAGCTACCAGTCTTGTGGGGAGTAAGAGCTCTCTCTAGTGCTCACATACTGCATAGCCCTTTACAACCAAGGTACTGTATAGTGATACTATACTTGCAGACAATAACTTAAAGACTCAATTTAATTATATTTTTCCCACCAAAAGTGCAATCTTGCTTTCTATACCTTTCAACAGACAATAGCCAGGTGCCACTGTAAAGAAAACAACAACACTCAAAAAGAGAGAAAAAGCCTATTTGAAAGTCATTATAGACTTGCCTTGGCAAGGCTTCTAAAAATTTCCAATATTATACTCTATTCAAGAGGGGTAAAAACCTCCAGGAATAACTCCTGTCAAAATTAACAAATAGCACTGATCAGGTTTCTTACTTCTCATCTCTATATGATTACTGTTCTTGTTTTTATATTGTATATAAGGCTGCAGTAAACTACAGATAACTGAATCCAGTATACTGATCCTGTGGATATGGGGATCTTACTGTACTCTGCTTGGCTTTAACAAGATTAAAATGGAACTACAGTAAAAAAAAAAGGAAACTATTTTTTTTAGCAAGAGCTGTATCCCAAATTTCAGACAGCACTGTATATATTCCATGTATCAGTGCAAACAGGCTATGGTCCACAAAAGCATATGCTAAACTTGCTAATTTTTAAGGAGTCACAGGACTCTTTCTTGCAAGAGACTATAAAGAAATCCCAGGAATTCTTAATCTTTATACAACCACAATAGACTTGTGGTTGAATATATGAACAAACAGGGTTTCCTACAATTTGTTTGATTCTTATGAATTCAGCTTCATTGTATTTAATCATTTGCCAACTGCTTTCAAATACTGATGAAGAACATATATAGCACCTTCTGGATCCAAAATATTGTTGACATCAAACATAAAATATCCAGAAGGCTATCCCTCACAGCAAAGGTGGATTTGATTTAAATTTTTTAAAAGTGAGGGTACTGACGATTTAAGTAAAAATGATTTTTATTTAAGTTGTGATTGAAATCAATTTAATTTTTAAAAAATCATTTATTTTTATCTACCCTGACATAGCCAAATAACATTAACAAAACAGGCACAAGGACATCCACATGCTAAATCCTATGGGACCAAACTATAAGTTCTTCAATGGTCATCTTCTAATGAATATACAAAATATACAAAAAGCAGTGAAACTACTTGAGATGAAGCAGTCATATCCCAACATATTATGCCAAATGATACAGGAGAAATGTGTGGTTCTTCTGCCCCCTTCCTCTCTAGAGAGAAGCAGCAAAAATTACACTACCATCAACTGCCAGGAGCCAAAATAAATTGGGAGAAGGATGTTTCTGTGTTGGATTATAAATAACAGGATGTTCCTTTGAAGTCAATCATGGCTGAACAGTGGAGTATAAATATCAAAAAGTAAGCTTGTAGCTAAAAGAAAAACTGACAGAAATTTCAGGGTAAATAGCTAAATGAAGGAAGGGAAGAGATTAGGGCTCGCCAAGACGTTTTAATACTCGAGAAGAAAATTGAAATAATATCTGCATCATCACCTGCCAAAAATAAATAAATATTGAACTGTCTGAGTGAATACTCATCTTTTCCTCTGTCAGATTTGAAAAGGGATTTACAACATTTTAAAGTCCCAAGTTTAATTGCTGCTAACTGGTTCCAAGGGCTACAAACCTCACAAAGTGGTTTGGATTACTTGCTTTCCCATACACTTTGTAATGAATTAAACAAAACCCACTCAATTACCATTTTAATACTAAAACTCAATCTCTCAGTGTAGCATGAAAGGAAGGGCTTTCTACTTCTTCAGGCAGTGTAGTAGACCTTTGGTATAGATGGGTGGGGTAGAAATCCAATTAAATAAATAAATAAATAAATAAATAAATAAATAAATAAATAAATAAATAAATAAATAAATTAATTAATTCCTAAAGCATTAGGAAAGTTTATTTCATAGCTGTTAGAATATAGGACTAGGACTCAGGAAACCTGGGTTCAAACTCCCACGTGGTCATGAAACTCACTGGGTGACCCTGAGTCAGTTACATTGTCTCAACATGACCTAGCACAGGATTGCTGTGGGGATACTGCCCCTCAATCTCACTGCAGGCAAACTACAAATGTAAGAAGTTGAATGAATAAAATAAACAACAATGAATAAGGTAGTAGTATTCCTTCTGATCCATACAAATGTAAGAAGTTGAATGAATAAAATAAACAACAATGAATAAGGTAGTAGAATTCCTTCTGATCCATTATTTTTAATGGATCAGAATGAGTACAGAAATAGAATAAATAAATAAATAATAAATAATTTAATGGATCAGAATGAGTACAGCCAATTTTTCTTTGTTTTAGGTGAGACTCTAAAGGCAAGCCACCTTGCTTTAGATAGATTCAAAATATCTATTTCCCAGATGAGTTTCTCTTCCTCCTAAGGCTACAGATGTTATTAGGGAAACAAAAAGGAACAGAGAGACAGGTATAATTCTCTTTCTTCACATTATTTTTATTATATTTAGATCTTACTTCTCTTCCAAGGAGCTCAACATAGTATATATGATGATGTTCCCCTCATTGCCATTTTATCCTCCCAACCACCTTTTATTCAGCTACGCACTTACAGAGATTGGGCTCAATGTTATTCAGTAAGATGCATGACGGAGCCAGGATATCAAAAGACTAACATAATTTGCATATATATATATATATCTCCTTAGCATTGTTCTGCATGTCTGAAATCCTTTTGCACTTAGTATTGTATAAAGCTGTGCCTACAAAAGTTCACAGGGAGTTACGTTCAGTCTGGATGTCTGGTTGTGTAACTAGCTGAGTAACTGTGCCTAACTACTTCCTGGATACTTCAGTGCTGGCACACATTTTGGAAACAGTTTGCACAACTTCAAATTATGCAGGCATAGCTACACAACAGGATTTTGGCCAGTATGGCGCAGCAGTTTGATTTAGAATTATTCATCTATGAAGCCTTGACACTTTCCGGCCTAGTTATTTATAGAACTATAGAGCTAGAATGAACCTCAAAAGCCATTGAATTCAACTCCTTTTTAGATGCAACCCCTCCTAAACTTTAGCACCCCAAATCCACCCTCAGTATCTAATGAAGCAGTCTGTCCCACATCGAAAAGGAAATTTTCCTATTGTTTGATTTACATCAGAGCTTCGCCTGCCTTTAAAAAGCTGTTTTGATCACTAGTGTGGCGGTTCACTTTGAGCTTGTTACAGAATATAACCAAAATGTACAAAACACATATATTTTAAATACTTTATTCATAAGTATTCATAAACCACTTATCTCTCAAGATTTAAAGGTAATTTATATAACATGTTATAAAACAATACATATCAATATTTTATAAAAAGTGTAGGTACTGTGTATTTAATTTATTGCTTCATTGCCTACTTTCATTGTGGTTAATCATCATTTCAGAATTCTTAGGTTCATAAGTAAATTAAAAATAAGTTAAATATCATTATGATGCGTAAAAATATATAGTAGACTGAATTATACCAGAATGATTTGAGGGGGAAATGGCCTTAAATGTGGGAGATCCAAGTTCAAGTCAATACTTCCAACTCATGGGTTGACTCTGGGCCAGTCCCTATCCCTCAGTTTCATCTACCTAGCAGGGTTGTTGAGAGGATGATGTGGGGAGAAGACAAATACTGTACATCTAGAACACCTTCAACCCAGCGGGAAGAAGGGAGGACATAAACACAATTAATGAATTCACTAAAAAGTGTCAAACGACAGATAGTATCTGGGGGAAACAGCCCTTATAATCGGTGCAGCTGCACCATATGGTATGCCCTGGGCCACCCCTCAGGTGCCTGTGGCATCACTCAAAGGATCCCGTCCAGATCGCCACAAGAGACAGCGTTACAACCCCTTATAAGGGAAAAGGCGGTCCCTGAGGGAACAAACGGACGACAACCCTAAGTTCGGGACACGAACTTTGCCGAACGCGCACGAACCGCGTGACAGCCGCCCATGCGTGCCGCCCCTTTCGTTCTTTTACCTCAGCCTCTCGCAGGGGAGCTGCAGGTGAGGCCGCGCCCCTCCCGCCCACGTTCCCGCGCAGGAAACGCCCCGCGCGCGCTTCCGCGTCCGCAGTCTCCTCACGGCGCTGAGGGGGTCGCCCCACTTCCTCTCGCCCTCCCGCCCGCCGACGGGCTCCAAGGTAGGCGCTCCGCTGTTTTCTTCCTTCCTCCCTTTCTCTTTCTCTCCTTTCCATTCTCCCGCTTTCCCCTC